CTCAAAGTCAGAGTGACTGTGTTTTTGTGTTTTATTTTGTTTTTGGAGAGAATGATGCTCAAGACTCTCACAGCTCTGGATCTCCATCGAGTAAGAGAAACCAGCATAGACCAAGATCTGGAGACTAGATAGAAATGTACTTAGGTGGATTTGGAGCTGAACCACTCATAGGAAATGAAAAACAAATCAAAGAATAAAGGCAGGACAAATAATGAGGAGGAGGGGATGTGGATGAAAAATGGACACATAATGCAGATAAAATCTCAGTCAAGTATTAGAAAGCTCCAATGTCGGGTCCTGACAGGTGACTGGCACATCCTTAGAGATATCCAGACCAACAACTGCCATCAGAAGCAAGGACCAGCCTGCATCATTTAAAGGAGATTTCCCCGCATTCCTGGGGAGATGCTCTCATTGAGGCCAAAATATCAAATATAATTCAAAGGTTATTTAAAATTTGATGGTTCTTGAAGCTGTGTGCCACTTCCCCTACTGAAAGATGGGAACTTCAGCTTTCAGAAGTTGGCTGGACTTGGCCATCTGCTCTTCTCACCTTCATACAATGGACTTTGAGATTGTGGTGGCACTGTATTTATGCACGGTAGAATCCACAGTACCCAAACCACTGCCTGCACATAATTCCTCACAGTTCAGTTGGATGGATGGATGGATGGACGGATGGATGGATGGATGCGTGGATGGATGAGCAACTTATCTTCAGCCCAGATGATCTTCTCCTGTCTTTCATGCAAAGCCATTCCTCCCTTTTTTCAATGGCTCCAGTTTACCTTCTCAGAAATCGATTCTTGCTTCTTGCTCTGTACTTTCAAAAGATTTGACTATTCTTCAGTGCATCTTATTATAACTTTTCTACATCTGCATTTATAACCTTCTCCCAGATCATCAGCTCTTAAAATATGAGTACTACAGTTTATTCACATTAACTCCCTAAAACGGGGACAACAAGAATTAACCATCAGTAAACAATATTTAAATAAGCTAACACTTCTTTTTTAAAGCAAAGGATTTATTGGTATATTTTAGATATACATAATGAAAGTACTCATCGTAGGGAATTTGTACCTGTACATGATATACCCTGCAGGAAACTAAAACTTCTTATGCAAGAAGTTTTCACTCTCAGTCCTTTGAGACCAAAAATTGGCTACTGATTTACCTGAATCAGTCTAAATGTTTCAAGGTTTACAGAGAAACCCACATGTTGGTACATTTTGATAGAATTCACCTAAGGAAGTAAAGAAACAATAATCAAAACAAGTTGTGTCTTTTTGAAAGTGAATATCCCTAAAGTGAATGTCCATTCTCTACTTCCAAGGCAGACTTTGATTTATAATCTTTTCAGTGCCTTAGATGCAGATACCAGACTGGAATGCAACTTTTCTCTGTCATTTCTTGGGTGTGTCCTTAACTTTTTGGTGCCTCACTATATTCACCTCTAAAAAAGTAGTAGCTACTTCATAGGGTTGCTGTGAGGATTAAACAAATAGTTTTATGACAAGTTTTATGACAAGAATAAATGTCATGTATAGAGTAATCACTCGAGTAAATGCAGAACCTTTTGTTGACAACTTACTATTGTTTAAATATTTAAAAAAGGAAAAGGGGGAGACTCTCATCTAGACAAGATAGCATAGAAAATAGGAATATGACATGAAGAGACTTTTTGATGAAGAGGCTATATATGAACACACGTTCAATAACATTAGCTATCAAGACGTGCAAATTAAGAATTCAATGAGATATCACCTCATACCTACCAGGATGGCTAAAATTTAAAAATAGTGAAAATACCAAATTCTGGCAAAGATTCAGAGACTGAATCTCTTACTCATTGCTATGGGAAGGAAAAATGGTACAGCCACTTTGGAAAAAAGTGCAACAATTTCTTTTAAAATTAAGAATATAATTACCACATGAGCCGGTAATTGTACTCTTGGGCATTTATCCCAGAGAAATTAAAATTTATATTCACACAAAAACATGTACACAAATGTTCCTAGCACCTTCATTTTCAAGAGAAGAATATTGAATCACCCCAAATATCCTTCAACAGGTGCTTACTTAGACAATCTGTGCTATGTCCATAAAGTGAAATATTTTTCAGCAATAAAAAGGAATGAACTATATCCATACAATAACTTCAATGAACCTGCAAAGAACTATGCCAAGTGGAAAAAGCCAAAACCAATAATTACATAGGGTATGATTTCAATTATATAACATTCTCAAAATGACAAAATTGTAGAAATGGAGGGCAGATTAGTGCTTGCTAAGAATGACCATGGAGATTGGGAGGGTGGAAAGAGGAGGCATGGCTGTAAAGGAACAGCAGGAGAGATCTTTATGGTGCTGGAGAAATATTCAGTGTCTTAACTGTAGTGGTGGGTACATGAACCTATTCAGATGATAACACTGTACAGAATACACACACAGACATCTGGGAAGATATGAATAATCCAGATAGATTGGACCCACATCAACATCCTGGTTGAGATATTCTCCTATACTGTCACAAAATGTCACAATCTGGGAGAAATGATCACAATATACAAGGGAACTATGTCTATTATTTCTTATAACTATGTATTATTTCTTATATCTGTGTGTGAATCTATAATTATCTCCATTAAATTTTTAATTGAAATACAATGGAAACGACAACTCTTCACCTCGTATTTTAGTAGGTACTAATATCTGACAATTAACATCTGAAAGATCAAATGTGCTGTATATTGTTATTTCAATGAAATGGCAATGGATGATATCAGATTTCTTATACGTAAACTCTAATGTCCCTTTATTATCTAGAGTTAAAATATGTTCAAATCTGCCCAACACAAACACAAAGACACTTACCAAAAGATATTGATCTGAGACAGCTCATTCCCTCTCTGAGGGGTTGGTTGGGACAATCAAAGAGACCTAGCAAGATATCCAGCCTGCAATCCTCTTTCTCTCTCTCTCTCTCTCTCTCTCTCTCTCTCTCTCTCTCTCTCTTCACACACACACACCTTACTCTCAATGTTGGAGTCCCTTTACTTACCAGCACATAAACTTCCCTAGGTTGATTTTAAAAGGCAAAAGGTAAATCTTTAAAGTGTACATTTTATAAATTACTGACTCAAATAAATAATCTGAAAATGTTCACTACTGAGATCGATCTTTTTCATAGAGATGGGATATTTGTGATTAAAATAAACATATATTCATTCAAAGCTAGTTACCATTAGGCATCTATCAGGAATGAAGGCAGAAGCCAACTCCACCACACCTCAGAAGGCCTCTGGACACACAAATCATGTCACAGTCACAATGACTCCTTGCACTTACACTGGGAGCATTGTAGGCCAAGGGTCCTCAGCACTGTACACATGTGGCTGTTATTTAGAGCTCTCTGAGGTATAGATTTACATTACCATCTGCTGTCTTCATTGCTGTTTACATCTGCCTTAAAAGGGGGGTGGGGCATGATCAATTAAAGTGTGTGTAAAAAGCTCTGGGAAAGAAATCAACAACAGCAACAATCAGTACTTAGGAGAAGTACACATGTCCATCCAAAAGAGTAATAAGAAATTCATACTCCTCTTTCTGAAAATGTTCCTTTTGAACTGTGGAAAATTAAATGACAAAGAGTGTCACTATGCATTCAAACAATTTATCTCCTCTGAAAAGACCTAGAAATATCTCAACTATACAGGCCTTTAAATTAATGTATTAATAAATTGACTTCATAAACATTAAAAACCTTTGTTTATGAAAGACTCATTAAGAGTCTGAAAAGACAAGCTGCAAATTGAGTAAATATTTGCAACCTATATTTCTGATAAAACATTGGTATTTAAAATATATAAAGAACTTTGAAAATTGAACAATAAAAAATGTAACCCAACTAGCAAGCAAGTAAAGAATATGAAGAGACGATTCACAAAGAAAATACATAGATGACAAATAAGCACGTGAAAAGATCCTTAACATCATTAGCCATCCATGAAATGCAAATTAAAACCGCAGTGAGATATTATGATGTACCTATGAGAATGACTTTTTAAAAATAGTGATTTTTAGAAATACACCATGCTGGCAAAAATATGGAGAAACAAGAGCATTCATACAGTGTTGGTGGGGGTGAGAACTTGTACAGCCACCTTGATGTTATAAAATTAAACATGCAATTGCTAGAAATTACACTTTTGGGCATTCATCCAAGAGAAATGAAAAATTTTGTTCATGAAAAACCTCTGTATATGCAAATGTTCGTAGCAACTTTATTTGTAACAGCTAAAATTTGGGAATAACCCAGATGTTCTTCAACAGGTGAACAACTAAATAACCTGGGACTTGCCAAAGAATACCATTCAACAATAAAAAGAAACAAATTATTGATGCAGGCAACAACCTGGATGTATCTCCTGAGAATAATGCTGAGTAAAAAAAGTCAACCCCAGAAGGGTATATACTGTGTCATTCCATTTTAATAACATATTTGAAATGCAAATTATAGAAGTGGAGAAGAGATTAGTGGTTGCAAGGGTTAATGAATGCGTGAGACCAGGACATAGGAGGAGGGAGATGGATGTCCCGAAGTAGGCAAGATGAAGAAGACCTGTGGTGGGAAGATGGTCTTATATGACTGTGTCAATATCAATATGCTGGTTTTGATAGTGTAACATAAGTTTGCAAGATGTTACCATTGGGGACTACAGGGGCTACAAGTATAGGGATTCTTTCTGCATTATTCTAACAGTTTCATGTGAATCAATAATTATCTCAAAAAAGCTTTTACTTTTTAAACAGACAATGTAAAAGGGTAGGAAGAAAGTGTATCTTTTCCACTCAAGTTTGTAACAAAGGTGCTGGCTAACGCAGTGGCTGACAAGGCTGCTGGAAGATCAAAAGGGCAGCTGGGAACACAGAGCTGGTTGTGGAAACTGTCCCTCAGCACCCGAGGTCCCTCCTGTCTAGGAGTGGAGCCTTTCGGCAGCTTCCATCTCTTTCCAGAAGATTGCAAAACAACTCCAGCAAACTGAATCAAAGAAGTCTAGTTTTTGCTGATTTGTTGCAGTGGCCTCTGAAAAGAATTCTAACTCTAGGAGTGTCAGGAGAAGTTGACTGTGGCTCCAGCCCTGTTATTTGAGATGCTGGCAAGTGGAAGGGAAGCATCAATCAAATCATTACCCGTAACTAACAAGTAATTGTAGCCAATACGGGGCTTTCCAGGACCTATACTGCATGCCAGCTCCCAAAAGAAAAGAAACAACTTATTTTCTGTTAAAACATACCTCTTGGGCATCACTGAGTGGTCTCTAGGCTGCCCTCAGGGGTCCTTCCAATTTCTGCTGGTGTAAGAGGCAGCTTAGCTACTTAGCTGAGAAGTAGCCAGCTTGTAAGGAGCTATGCCTAAAATAGAGTTGGCTGGGTACAAAGAAAAGCGCACACACACCAGGAGTTACGAGCTAATTCTCAGCCATACAGATAGTTAAGCTTAGAAATGTAAAAACAAACACAGGAAAAAGGATACAGAGTTAAGATAAAGACAAGCAGTTGAGAACCTTGAAGAAAAAAAAAAAGAACCTTGACTCTCTGGAAAGAAATTTGAAAGAAATTCTTTGGCAGAAGCTAAGTTAGTTAACAACCTCTCCCTTGCCCCCAAGGCTGGGTTTTGAGGAACAAGTTTCATTTGAATTACACCTGCTAAGAAACCGATTTTCTTTAAACTCTACATTACACAGCCTAAGCCCCGATTGGTTATTCTAAAGTCTCGAAGCCATATGGCACATGGAAATATTCATCATTATATAAATATTAGTGATTTCTACTATTACTAACCTTTTCCTCATCATGACATTACCCTGGAAGACACTAGGGATGAATGAAAGCATTCTGAATTTAAACTCAAATTGATTTGAGGGTCAAAAATTGGGGGGGGGGCACCTTTAGGGGAAGTTATTTAACTACTCAGTGCCTCAGTTTCCATATTTGCAATGTCAGGACACAAAAACAAATGTGCCGGGGTTTTAGTAAGATTCAAAGGTGTAGTAGCCACTCCGTCTGGGTTTCTCAGGTGCACACCTTAGGAACTCAAAGCGGGACTTCATGTGTTGTATTTTTGTAAAATGCAGTTATTGTTGTGGAGAGCAGTGATGGTGAGGTTAGTCCTCTCTCGCTCTCCATCCCCCTTGCCCTGGTGTCTGAGAAACAGAGCATCCCCATGGCAACAGCAGCAGCTGGTCCCTAGATAAGAGGAGCTGGAGCTGAGCTGGGCAGCAGCAGCCACTGCACAGAGAATCAGCCCAGCCTCTACAAGCAAGCTCTGCCTCCGGGCTCTGACCCATCGCAGTGTCTGCGCCGACCGGTAAGTGCTTCAGACTTTTTCTCCACAAACTACTGTGGTGAGAAAAGCGAGTTTCTGATAACTTACAGCTTTTTTGTGGTTGCTGGGGCAAAGAAGGCTGCCAACTAGGGTTGGGCTTTATGGAGCAAGGTTAAACTGAGGTGAGGCAGGAAACAAAAAGTCACTACTTTCTCATCATTTTTTCCAAGGGAAGTGAGGGCCTTGAGTTCTGTGAGAGCCTGTGCCCTCACCAACTAAATTGCAAAGTTTCAGGATGAATTCCATTCATGTGTCTGTGTGTTCACACAGCATGAAGAGTCTTACTCTACATGGCTGGGGAAAGCATGATTTTCAGAAATTATCCCCATGCCCTACTTCAAGTTACAGTCAGTCCTTGAGGAATTTTATAAATGTAGGTCTTCTAAATGAACAAATGTGATTTTAAAATGTACTTATTGCTGGAATGCAATCCTCAGGTGAAAAAGAAGCTTTAAAAGGATGTGAACTGTACATAGCCAGGTGCTACCTTAACTACACACTATATTGGGCTGTGGAAGTAATTTTTTAAGCTTTTTACTACATCAACTAAGGCCAGGACTTTTGGAGATATTCTTTTGATTACCGTAGAGCTCAGGGTCCATTTGCTCTTGAGAATAGGTTCCCAAGATCTGGAAATGGGTGTTCTGCAGTTGGTTGGCAACTTAGAATATTCTAATTTCATTATCACTTTCAAAGAAGGAAAGAGGTAGAGTGAGGTTAGCCTGACAATCAATGTAGATCCATTAAGATCTAGATACTATAATCACAGGGGCAGGGGGACTGAGAAATCAAAGGCCACTCACGCTTATTAAGGGTTAGCATATGCAGGTCCTGGGGTGAGCACTCTGTACAAATTGTGTTGTTAACACTCTCAACAGTGCTGGAGAACAGACCCTAGCATCCACATGTTACAGATATGTAAGTTAAGTTTCCAGGAGAACACATTGCTTTTGCAAGTTCACCCAGTTAGAGTGGGACAAGGTTCCAATCACCTGCTTCTGCCTCAGATTGTCGCAGAACATCTAAGGCTTATAGTAAGAGAGGAATGCTCTACTCCTGAACTAAGCTACACATCCTCACCTCCAACTGAGAAACCTCCTCAGAGCTGGACCAACTTCTGACTTCAAACTGGACTGTGGAGATAGCATTCCTATTTCCCAGAACAAAGAAGTAGCCCGAGCTAGTGGAGCCTCAGCAACACATCTTCAGATTTCTGCAGGCTGAGCTGGTATGTGGGCCCCTCCACAATTCAGCAGGGTCATGTCCTAGTACCCAGTTTGTTGACCTTTTTAGTTCCTGTTCTCAAAAGATTAGGTGACTTTGCCACCAACATTTGCTGCATATTGTGACATTGGTTTATAGATCTCCTCTCTCAGTGGTATTTGCATTTACAAGTGTCTCTGTGAAAAGAACGACTCTGTCCCTTGTGCAAAGGATTAGTAAGAAATTTGCAATAGTTTAGCATGTGGGCTCCTGCAAACCTCCCTCAAATCCTGAAATCACATCTCTTGGGCACTTGTATGCTCCGTAGTCACCCACATTGTCTCAAATAACAGTCAACAGAAACATAGCTCGGGTCCTCAAGCCTTGATTCTCTAATTAGGAAAATCTGAAAAATTCTAAACACTGAAGAGGTTTGTTGCCACAATGGTCAGTTTTAAATCATTTAATTACAAAATCTGATCTGGACAAATCTAAATCTTTATGTAGTCTGTCCTCTCTTCATTTAGTGTGAATACCAACCATTTGGCTACAGGAGGCTGATCCTCCCTGAGACCCCCTGAGGCTATTATATAACAAAAGTCCCTCTTCTCACGGTGTATTTGGCCTCAGGCTTATATGGCAAGGGTGGGTGACCAATACTGACCATCACAGTGCAGTCCCAGTCATCACTGTGATAAAATTCAGAGACCATGCTAAGCCAGTGCGTGGTAAAAGGATGTTAAAGGGGTGGTAGGTCTTTGTACTAGAGACAATGTGTGAAACACCCCCAGATGTAAAGTCTCCATCCACAAACACCTCTGAATGCCCTTAGCATGTGGTGTCCAGCAAACCTCCCTCAAATCTGGAGACCCAGAGGATCAACTGTTTGGGTATGAAGGGAAGAGCTAAGGCTTTGGGGAGTCCCCAAGTTACAAAGGGCTGCTGAGAGAGATGATGAAACCTTCCTTGGCAACAGGTCAAGGGAAATGTTCTTTTAAAATGTCCACTTGGGGTGGAGGCTGAATTAAAGAGAGAAATCCATATACAGTGTCAAGAATAGAAAGTGGAAATATCACATTTCTTAATTCAAAAATTAGACAGGCTCATGTCTTGCAATGGTTCACTCCTACAGAACACCTGTCTCTCTGAGGGTTAAAATGGAAGATAATGCAGAAGATGAGTTCCTCTTATATTTAACAGGCAGGTAAAGTGACAATGACCAACAGGATGATACTACATTCCAAACAGTTCCCCCCTCCAGTTACTTGTTCTTTTCTTGGTTTGAAGATTTTCTGATTGCCAGAGCTTAATAATATCATTCAAGATAATGGGCAAACCATGTCTCTGCCAATCATGAGATATTTCTTTAATATATAATCCCAAATCTGGAAATCATCTCTCAGCACCTTAGCAAGCAAAGTCTTCCCCCCTCCATTTCAATGTAGTATGTGCAGTTTAAAGTGAAAGCTAAAACATACAAACCACAGAAGTTTAAAATATAGTACTGACCAGTTTGTAAAAGACTGAATGATTGTTTTGCACACATCCTTCATCTTTAATTTCACATCTTGTCCTGTAGAGATACTATTAACACACAATTCTGATTCCTTACAAACCTCTCCTACTTGTGGTTAAAAGTGAGATGCAAGGAGAGACTTCCATCTGGGAGAGAAGCAGAGCTCTTACCCGGGGAGCTGTTTCTTTCCTAGCTAACCCTGATATGAGAAACTGGAAAAATAGGAACAAAATCTTTGTAAATAGGGAGGAATGGAGGGGTTGAAGGGAGGGCTGGGCAAGGGTGAAAAATAAGAACCAAGAGAGACTATGTACAGGTGCAAATTTCCAATGATGAATGTCATTATATTGTATACCTAAAATGTACCAATGATTAGAATGAATAATCGATAATGCAAAATAGGAAGAAAAGGTCCAAAGGGATAGGGGTAGTGGGAGGGGCAGGGGAAAGGAAAGAAGGGAAAGGAAAAATGATGAGAAATGGAAAAAATGGAAATAAAGTCTTTGTAAATAGGGAAGGGTGGAGGGGGTGAAGGGAGGGCTAGGAATGGGGAAAACATAAGAATCAAGATGCATTATGTAAAGGTACAATTCCCAATGAGAAATGTAATTGTGTTGTATACCTACAATGTACCAATAAAAGAATTTAATAAAGTGCAAAAAAAAAGAAAAGAAAAATCACAGAATACACAGGCTCTTAAATAATTAATCATTAAAACCAATACCACTCTGAGGAGACACTTGTTTTGATGCCAACATTTCTTTGGAGCAAGCAAAGTCTTGCTGGTCCACTACCATCATTCTTTGAATCACAGTGATTTAAAATAGTAAGCCACCGTGTGCAATAACCATTTGTCAGTCCTGTGAGGGATCTCTAGGTGCCCTGGCTTATTCAGGGACCTCTAACATGTTGAACCCATTCTGGCACAATTCATTGGCCAGGGGCAAGTTCCTGTTTTTCTGGTCCAGTATTGCCGTCTGAGCTGTGTTCAGATGAAACTAGTCTGCCCAGGCTGAGCACTTAAGTGAAAACAAAAGGTTTGCTTGTTTCTTGGAATTTCCCAATTGTACACACCGTCTTTATTAGCCAGTGACCCAGCATGATATAGCCAAAGATACATAATAATAGCTATCACTTGTCTACAATGTACTAAGCATGTCCTTTATCTTCATAGTAACTCTATCAAGTAGATATAATTATTATTGCTATTTGACAGGTAAGAAAACTGAGAGGAAGAGTAGGGAACAAAAAGGGCTCTATGTCCCTGAATGTCATCTTATAGGATGACCACAAAGAAGTTGGTCTTTGCAAATTTTGTCATAGCAACAGCAGCTTCCAGGGAGAGAGGGGAGACATGATTAAATTGCACTTCGGCTCCATTTACCCTCAATACATCATTAAGATTTAGCAAATTTATCAGTAATGTGATTTTTTTAAAGTGTTGAGATTTAATCCAGGTCTATTTGATTAAAAAATCTAGACTCAAATTAAATAAGCAGCTGTTAGACATATGGGAGCAGTTGTACGATTCAAGAACGAAGAGTAGCTTTCCTTAGGTTGGGGAGAAGGAGAGGGATACTATTGCCAGATAGGACTGACAGTAGACAGACAGAAAAGGCCAAGTACAAGTACTGACTCTGACTGTAAGTATGTAATTAACAGTAGCCTTGACTTTTTCTGGAGGTGAGTATTTTGAGCAGATCCTCCATGGGGTGATTTTTCAGCATAACATCTATGATTGAAGGCTTGACTTCCCAGGGAGGAAGAAGATTGATTAAATAGGTGCAGAGGACATGTGAGGCTGTCATCTTGCCTGGAGATCTCAGCACTGAGCCCACTTCTCCAATGCTTTCCCATAGCTCTCCTCTTCATACAAGCATGGAGAGGTGGAGGGCTACCCAAGGTAACAGCACCTTTCCACATAGTCCCAGGGAGTTGGCAATCACAAAGAACAATGGTCTGAATTGATTTATGCTGAAGTCACTCAGTACAATCAGTCTGCTCAGAATGACACTAAAAGCCAGGCTCAAGTGATCAGTTAATGGCTCCATCTGCTATGCAATGATCTCAGCTCATGGTGGGAGAGGCCCTCCAGCCTTTCCTGAACACTAGCTTATTCCTCAGAAAACAGCTGAGTTGCACTCATTCTAGGGGCTTGAAATGTTAGCATGAATTGAGTTAACATGACTGGTCTGTGTTTCTCTGTATGCTGTGGGTCCAGGAAATGAGAATAGGGTCAGCTGGGTCCTTTTACCTTTATCCATTCCTCCCTCACCATTCTTGCTGTTATAGGATATGAGTGACCAATTACTAGAAAGGAACACAAGAATCGGAACCTGAGCAGTCATTTGTGAAGATTTTTTGTAAATCTCAGCTAACGTATTTCTCATTCAGACCTGACACAGGTCTATTCTAGATTTCCACTCCTCTGAGATAATGGTTGCATCTAATACATCCAGAAAGTTCCAACAGATTTGTGGTCCAGTAAAGAAGAATGTAAGATGAGGGTAACAGGTTTGCTGTCATGTCAGATATCCCTAGGGAGGAAGTAATGACGATCCATTCAAGATCTAGATTTTCTCCTACTGCATTTCTACCACCCTCTTAGGATGGACGCGGAAGCTGTCTCATTACTTTAGAGTTACAGAATATAATGGTGGAAAATGAATAGCCTGGATAAATTTGGGCTCCAAGAGACTTTGTTTTTAAGAGACTTGAGTGTCTAGTGGCAGTCTGTAGAACTAGATTTAAATCAGCCGCAGCTAACTTGATGCATGCAGGACTGCACAACTTAAGTAAACTGTGTGAGTCTCGGTTTCCCTATCTGTGAAGTAGACATAATCCTACTTTGCAGAATTTAAAGAAATATAGGTGAGTTTGATCAAGATTTTCTGTAACTCTTAGCCAACTCATTTCTACTTCAGACTCGATTAGTATTTATTCTGAAGCTTTTAAAATGGGCTAATATTGAACCTTTGATTAAGAGCAATTACGGATAAATGTGTGTGTTATTCACTTGTGTTTGGTTTCAATTTTCATTTTAGTAGCTAACTATAAGAGGCAGAATTGAAAAACAGGATTGAATTGGGAACATTATAGCAAGTGCTCACCCAGTAAATATATTTATTGAAGAAGTAAATGAATGAATTCCCTGAAGGCACACTTAGGAACTGTCTCTTATACTTTGGTAGTGCTGGAGAAGAAATACACACACCCTCTCTCTTTCAATGATGTCTACTGAGCAAATGCAGTCCCCGGAGCTGTCAGAAGACAGACTGGACAAGCTAGACCCTCGCTGCAGCCACTTGGGTAAATGCTTCATTGTGAATGTCAGTCATGAAAATCAGAAAGGGTGTGTCCGTGCCATATGGTTTGCAGGCAAGTCAGAGAGAGGCCCCCTGAAACCCGATAGTCTGTGCCTTCTGGTGAGAGCCAACACCAGATGCACAGGCAAATAGCCATGGGTCTGTGGGATCTGCCATGTAAATATTAGCTGAAGCACTGGAGAAAAGTTCATTAAAGTTAGAGACAGAGAGAGTGCGAGAGGAGGCATTGTCCTCTTTGCTGGGGTCTGACAGAGTCCCAGGCAGAGCATTTTTGAGGCAATATATGGTATGTGACAATATAGCTTATTTCCAGTATTTCCCGGCACACTTACACCCCATGTGCAGTGCCAATAAAATATTTCAAATATCTCTTTTTGCCTATCAAGATAGAATTTTAAATAGCCCCTTTCTACTTTATTGTCAATCTGTTTCCTTTCCAGAACTGACTTTTTGTATAACCTTTGTAATGAAAATACCAGAAACATTTCTGCTTTACACATTTCTAAAAATGAGACACTCAGACTTTTGATGGATGGCCCTTTTGCATATTCATAGCTTTTGTTTATGCCTTGCCTGGTTATGATTTCCCCCTCCTCTCCCCTCTTCCCAATCACCATCAAGATATTTTATGTTCAGGATTTCTCAAAAAATGGGGCAAAATGAGATTGAAGTGAAAGAATTGAAGCAAAAGTGTTGTTCTCTGTACTGTGCACAGGACAAACTTTGGGGAAAATGGGGACTAACCCCTACAGGCCCCTATTACAGACTGTGCATCCAGAGACCCCACAGTTGGGCAGCACCTGTCCTAAGAAACATTCATTAGTTCAACACATATTTATGGTGTGTGTGATATGGGGGGACGTTGATGGTGCAGTGGGGTAGCGATTTTAACAATTGCTTTGCAGTCGAGGCATACTTCCAAGACCTTGAGTGTAATCCAGATCCCATAACTTGCTAGCGGTGTACCTTCCTGCCTTCTCCCTGGCCTGTGCACCTAAGTTTCCTTTTCTGCAAAATGGAGATAATAAAATACTACTGTTGTGGTTTAGTGTGGGAGCTAAATGAAACAGTGAGTGCAGGAATTATATTAAAACTTAACAACTAAGAAAGCACAAGCACTGATGAACCAGAAAAGGTGTTGGCCCATCTCACATGTTGAGACGATGGGCAATCACCTACTACATAAAGCAGTGTTCAGTAAAGTCTCCCCTCACCTCTTATATGTGTGTGAATGTTTAGCAACTTCATATAGTCCAGTGCTATACATATAGTACAATCTAAATAAATGCATATTAAATTGAAATGATTGAATAAAATTATCAAAGCCTTTTAGGTAAAGGATATGTTTATTTTTAAGTTCCTCTTTGCCTTGGTGATCCACTCAAGTTCTCTCAATTAGAATTTTATGGAATTTTCTCTTAGAATTTTATGGGATTTTCTCTCAGTCAGTATTTTATGGAATTTTTGCAAGGCTACTCAAGTCTTCTGTTGAAGAGACCAAAATAAATAAACACTTTACTTTTTCAAAACAATTCACCTCTACCCATACAATCAAGTGTCATTAGAAACCAGCCAGTTCGTATCTAGACCCTCAGTCATGTTATATTCTTTTTTTTTGTCTTCATATTTGTCAAAATCAGATGATCTTCCCGATCAGTTCATTAAGGGCTGTGATCTCAAAAAGAAGCCACGAAAGGGAAAAAATATGCAGGCCACCCTTACAGTGGAGTCAGACCAGAAGAAACCAAGGAGGAAAGACACACCTGCACTGCACATCCCGCCTTTTATCCCAGGTAACAGACAAGGAAGTTAGTTTCCACAGCTGTAAAGGGGAACCACTTGTCACTAGATCACATAGGTCTTAGCAATTTTCTCTTGACATATCTGGGAATTCAGGTTCTAAAGTATTAATGCTTAATACCATACCATCTTTTCAACCAAATGACTTTCTTTTGTCTCACTGGTGGTGGAAGTTGGAGGCAGGGTAGGCACACAGCACTCCAAATAGTCATTCTGGGATCCAGGCTGATGAGCTCTGACATCATCAGCCCATATGTAGTAAACAGAGTAACCTTGAGTTTCCAAAGTCACAGTGAGTATCACCATCCAGCAAGCATGAGACGTAGACAGATGGAAGACTGATGGAGAGATTCATGTGGGCCAGGCCTCACCTGACCATGAGGGAGGCTGGAAATGGACTCCTGCTCCATGGCCAGGAGAAAAGCAAAGCAACTTAATGAGCAGCTAGCAAGTCTCCACGTCATCCTTGGATGTGACATGTGACTCTTCCTTCTTCCTCAAAGTTACTTTCTTTCCTGTTCTCTTTCACTTTGGGCCATTACTTAATATCCTTTCTTTTAACATAATTTTAGGGATACAAAACAAATGTAACACAGAAGATCTTTTAGGGAAGGAACCATCAGAGGTATAGGGAAGAGCAGCAGCACATACACCACTGAAAAACACACTAAGAAACAACACTGTAATAGAGGTTCTTAGATAAGAACTATAGGAGGTGAATCTGGACAGTGAGTTGTGAAAAATCTTATGGGAAAGGCTATTTTTAGAGAGTTATTAAATGATAGAGAAAATTCACCTGTACAGTAGAGGTGAGAAGGCAGGTAGGTAAAGCTTGGAGGGGGAGCAATGATTAAGTTATCAGGGTGGATGTGTGTTGCACATAGCTTGCACTTAAATAGCAGATGATCCCCTCTGGCTCAGAAGGATGGGATTTGGAGACAGACAAATCTAGGCCTAATTCCTGTAGTAAATGGAATTCATTTTTCTATCTCACTTTCCTTAGATAGGTGATAGTGGTAGTAATGTTAAATTCCTTGGGCTTCTATGAGGTTAAAATGAAATTAGGCTTCAAACTTTTTTGTGTAGATATCCCTGATATAGCATTGATAAGTGCTATTCTTAGTAAAAGAAGCTTAAAATCCTACACTGACTACCTTTACCCAGTATTTGTGCAGATATATGTTCATGTGCAGCCCTCCTACATTATATGCATTTGAACCTGTTTCCCTCTCTCTTCCCCTAACTATGTAGGTGTGATTTCAGAACATTTAATTAAAAGATATGATATTCAAGAGAGACATCCAAAGAGCAAAATGAGCCCAGCTCTTCATAACACTGACCTGGAACAGAAAAGGCCAAGGAGAAAAGACACACCTGCCCTGCATGTGCCCCCCTTCACAGCAGGTAAAAGAGCTGGTACAGGGAATTTTGAAGAGGTGGTGGGACCATGTCGGGAGCCTCACCATCTGGAGGTGCCAAGGGCATGACTTTTGTCCTGCCTCTGCAAGCTGTGTCACACTCAAGGGCTCTGGGGAGATGTGGCATATATTGCTGCCTTCCAGGTTTTTCTTCATTGCCAGCTCCTCGGGGACTGACCTGACAAAAAGGAGGCTTCCAGACTACTCATGCCTCAGCAGAGCTGGTCAAATTCACTGAGCTAGTGAAATGGAAATGTCAGTGGGTCCTTGAGCAGAAGTAGGATACCCTCACCACCAGCCCACTCCTACATAATGGTCCATGCCTCATGACTGGTAGCTCATTCTCCCAAGTTGCATGGACTAATTGATCAAAATCTCAATATAGGTTAAGGAATGAGGGAGTAAGGGAGAGAGAAAGAGAAGGAGTGAGGGAAAGAGTGCAGAAATATTAATAGCTATCTTAGCATGTGTGTCAAGTGAAACAAAAAAATTTACTGAACTATGTTCATAACTCCAGGCTACCAGGGAAAGACATAGACTGCCCCTGAGAAGTTTATGTGCAATTCAAGAAATAAGACATGGAAATTTGTGACTGGTATACAAGACTGGTGTGTGTGTGTGTGTGTGTGTGTGTGCGTGCATGCGTGCATGTGTAAGAGAAAGACAGTCAGACAGACAGAGGCAGACAGAGAAGGAAACAGAGAAGGAAAAGACTACGGATGGTTTTGTAAGGAGAGTGAGGTCAAGAGGGAAATGTACTAATATTTATTGAGACCCTACCTAAATGTTAAGTGTAGCATGCATCATGGACTTTAAAAAATCATCTGAATAACACAACAGAGTAGCTATTGCCTCCCTTCACAGATAAAGAAGTTGAGAGAGAATTTAATTTATCTACTTGCTGTAAAGTCTTATGTGGATGGAATTAAGGGATGAATGGCCAATCAGCTGATTGTTTGGAACAGTGATGGGATGAGCAGATAAACACATGAATACTCAAGGTCAAACACTGTTAGATGGAGAGCTGGAGCTCAGACCAAGCCTGTCTCCCTTTTGGCCAGTTTTTCACTTCACTATGCTGTGGTTCAGACTTTTTCCAATATAAAACACAAAAATTATTCTTTTGCACTCTGGGGGCTGAGGCAAGAGAGATACAAGTTTGAGCACAGCCTGAGTCACTTAGGGACTTAATGAGACACTGTCTCAAAATTTTAAAATTACAAAAATGGCTGAGAATGCAGCTCAGTAGAAAGGCTCCGAGTTCAACTATCAGTACAGTTTTTAAAAAGGATATGTAAGTTATATTTTTGGTAGGAGATGCTATTTTACTGTTATTTAAGACATATTTTTTTATTATTTCATTTTACAAACAAAATTCAAAAGATAGCTCAAAATAAGATATCATGACAAAAGCCATCAGTAACTCAGTAATTTGATATCCTCGGCCATTTCTAAGGGCTAGGTCCAAATTCCATAGAGTTTGTGTTCTCTGGCCTTCACTTCCTTTTCCTCTCTCTCTTCCTCTTTCCACTTCCTTTTACTTCCATCTATCTTAATCATTTCCTTGTATGCCAAGGTGAAAAGTGGGTATGTGACCCTACTCAATCATATTCCTTGCTTCCTCCTCTGCCTCTCTTCTCTCTCTCACACACACACACACACACACACACACACACTTCTAGACACCAACCTTTCTGAGCTCTGAATACATGCAGCCTTCTGACGCAAAACAAATGTGTGGATAACACAAGAAAGTTAGGACCTGTAGGAGTCTTATCCTCAAACTACTTTCATTTTTAAAACAAATATTTATTGACCACATGTTATATTCTAAGTAATGGTATTAGAGTAAATCTAATGGACATACAGATAACAGATAATAGCACTTCTACTTGAAGTAAATTCTGTGAAGGAAAGTAGAGCTAGGTAGGGAAAAAGAGGGAGCCAGATATTGTTTCTTTATATGGGAGTGCAGGGAAAACTTCTCTGAGGAAGGAACATTTAAGCATAGACCTGAAGGAAGTGTGAGGAGGGAGACTTGAAGATAACTGATTGCAGAGTATTTGAGCCTAAGGGACAAATTCAAGTGTCTGGAAGTGGAAACATCTCTAGCTTTTACTCACTCAGTACTGATACTAAGTATCTATGATATTCCAGGCACTGTTCAAGGGCTAGACATACACTAGAAAACAAAACTAAAAGAAAAAGTCCTTGTCTTCCTTGACTTTATACTCTAGGTGGGGAAATACAGTAACTCAATTCTTGGAGCTGAAGCAGAGTAAAAGATTTCCCAAAATTCATAGACAGGCAACTTGGACACCATGACCCAGCTCATTCAGAGAGGAGGAAGGCTCCGAGGACTCCTCTTATTACTGCCCTGGGTGGAATCTATTGGCCCTCATGGCATCCTGAATCGGTCTTTTCCTCCCTTAACATGGAGCCAATAGAGATGGCGAGTGATAGCTCTCTCATATAGGGCTTGAAGGTCAAAGCTACTCTAGCTTCTAACACAAACATAAAGCCTAAGCCAGCACCATCTCCCACAGAAGAGACCATCCATGCATGGTGTGTGGCAGTGTTCTTTCTTCTTTCAGACTAGTTTTACTACCAGGAAAGGGTTCAGAGATCTTTGTATAACTGCCTTAAGATTAATAGCCAATAGCCATAATACATCAATTCCAGCTGTTCCCCAAGAAGAGGGAATTATTATATGTGATATTTGCATGGTAGAGGAATAAATAAAATCTCTAACAAATCTTATAGCAAAAGAATCACTTTGACTTTATATAATCCAGATTAACAAACCCCGATTTAGAACTTTTTTCTGCCCATCAAAGTCTATTTGTTCTAAAGATTATGCTGCAACATGGGAAGTTCTCCCTTGCAATTGCAAACACTTGAACCTTAAAAAAAATTTTCATTCTTTTTCACCTCCATCGAATATTCTGTCCCCAAATCAAATGAGAAGAAAATAGAATACAAATTGTGCCATGAATTTTTAGATTTGCAAGGAACAGAGCCCAACAAGGTGGAAGGGTACATGCAGAGACAGTTCTCTAAAGAAATGAACGGAGATGTGAAATAGGAAGAAAAGGGGCAAAGGGGAAGGGGAAGTGGGAGGGATAGGAGAAAGAAAAGAAGGGAATGAAATTAATATGAGAAAATGAAAAAAAGGAAACAAAGTCTTTGTAAATAGGGAGGGATGGAGGGGTTGAAGGGAGGGCAGGGGAAGGGGAAATAAACAAGAACCAAAAGAGTATGTAAAGATGCATGTCTCCAATGATGAATGTCATTATATTGTGCACCTATAAAAGGATATACAAAAAAAAGAAAGAGATGGACAGAGGATGAATGGGAGGGACAGACCCTGCCTCAGCCATACTTCTCACAGGCTACCAGGCTTCCCACATACATGGATCCTCTAGCTGATCACACTTTCCCAAAGCTCCACCTCTGTTCAGCTCCCAATAACCTTCCAAGACTAAGCCGGCCCGAAGCCTCGGTTAACAGATCCCTTCAAGAATAACTCTTTTCTACTCTGGACTGATTCTGTATTAGTCCTGGGCATACAAATGACCAAGACTTCATTTAATATGGTCTTTATTGTTCTCATTGCTGTCAATGTAGCTATTATACAGATTGACTTACATTAGCAATTTGTTTGATGCAATCATGAAGACATGAAGACTGGGCTGTGATCGCTGTATGCTTCTAATATTGATCTGGATCCATAAGCCCATCCTTTCTACTAGCAGTGCTCAATAAGTATCTGTGGGTAATGTTATATTTGATGGTCACAATTTTTCAGTACTTGATTATTTCATGTCCATTTTTGTGTTTATTTTGTAGAGAGACAAAAATATGCACAGGCATATTTTTCATCCTAGTACACAAAAATTGAACATGGGCTTTGGAGTCAGAAAGGTCTAGGTTTCATCTTTGGTTCTGCTTCCTACAACCTTGGTAGCCCTGGAAAGTTAACATAAACAATAAAAGACTCCTTCATCTCACCCATCCCAGAACGAGGACCATAAAATTTGCCTCGAAGAGTTAACATTTAGCACTTAGCAAAGGTTTTGACTTATTGAAAGCTCTCAATATATGTTAGTTCCCTTGCATTGTCCGTTAAATTTTATATTCTTTAAGTTAAATAATTTCTGAAGATAAGAATTCTTCTAGCCACAGCATTTTACCTCTTCATATGAATCTGCTGATTCAAGGAACTTTCTAAAGTATTAAGCTCTGATCACTTGGCAATGGATGCTGCATTCATCCCACTACCTAGTCCTAAAAGAGCAGTTTCCTTCTGCAGTCAAAAACATTTATCAAACATTGCAGCGTATACAAGAGTTGGAGGGGTGCTGTATCTATATTCACATAGACTCAATAAGCATTATGGAATTCCTTGAGTCAGCCAATCTCCGTATTATGTGTGGAATTATAGAGATTGTTGTATGATTCTAGTTTTTATTAGCATATTAGCTGAAGTACTTTACTTTCAAAGAGCCTTTTAGTATCTAAAGATTTGGCAGTAATCGAAATGCTAGTTAAGCTGATAAGGATAGAGCCTTCGGCAGATGTTCAGAAAGACTCATACTGGTTCTAATAAGGGTGCTGAGAGAAACTCTCAGGAAAATGCACCCTAGAGACATCCCCTCTCATTAGCCCTTGGCAAGTGAGAACTGGACAAGGATCCACGCTCTTCTCTAAATCTCCCACTAACCACCTTCATTCCTCTAAGTTAATGAGCTAATTTGACAAGTTCCAGCTGCCAGCATAGCCCCTTTATGGGGCGTCACCTCTGGCTTCCTTGCCAGCCCCAGGCTTGCTCCCAACGTGGTCCACGGTTGCCAGGACCCCTATCTTAGTGATTACATGACGGGGAGTGTTGCTTGTGATTGGTTATATCTGGGGAGCCCAGGCCTGCTTCAGAGAGAGAGAAGTATTTAGCTTGAGGTCTGTGGCAAAAAGAGCCAAACAAAATAAAGAATAATGTAGCTGAAAGCATAAAAGAGGAGCTGGCTGGAAAACTGCTAACATTTGGGCAGTCTGGAGAATAAAAATCAGACACTGCACTTACACAAAGGAAAGGGACTAGTATGCCCTTTGACAATGATACCTCCCCTGTCCTGCTGGCATACAGCATCTTCTCTGGTGTGATTTGTTAGGACAGGTAGTGCTTTTGCCCTGATCTCCACCAAATCAGAGGCACAAAGCTATACTGTGGATGGCCACTGTTAGATGGTACCCTAGATGGGATCCTGCTTAGAAATAGCTTACTTTAAGGCTGACTGCCCTCCAGAGACCCCAGAGAAGCAGCCTTGGCCTTAAAACACACTGATATATTACAGGCTGCTAAGTTCCCTAGACTTATTTCTATAGAAAGAGGAAGGAAATGACATTTGTTAAATCTCTACTATATTCCAGGTATTGAGGCAGATGGTAGACTCTCCTTTAAAAACTGCAGGAGAAGACTGATGAATTACTCAGTGGTTCTTACAATGTGAAAAGTGCTTTAGCAATGGTTCATTCAATGTATTACTGGAACCTGAAAGAATGTGGGCCTAAAACTACCTTTGAGCAAAATGGCATGTAGGGGAAACTTATTATTTTTAGTCAACTTGAGTTTGGTTTGATGTAGACACATCCAGAAAAGATGGAAGAGTTGAGGGATTCAACATAGCTTACTCCACATTCTCCTACCATGCTAGCTTTAATTCCGAATAAGAATCCAAACCTGCCTGAAGGTAGTACACTATAAGAAAAAATTATCTCTCACTTCATTTCATAAGTGATTTATCTGAAAGCCTTAGTTCCAGACAGACTCTTGAAATTGTTTTTCTTCTCTGATAACGTTAGCAAATTGGTAAAGAACCCATTTGAACAAACTAGGAATCGAATCCAATAACTAATCATAAGAGCAACAAATAGTCTCTATTAATTTTCCAGCACTGAATGGAGTCCTGTCTACAGAAAGGCCTCTTGTGGAAGCTGCAGCTTCTAGCCTCCAGCTTAGATCTGTATGAGCTGCCTCATGGACTTAGGGCACCTAATTAGGAGAGGAGTGGAGGAGGCAGTACAAGGCAGTGCTGGGGAAACAAAACTGGGAACTGGAGTGGGATGACAAGAACCCTGTCCTTTGTCCTTTAATTAAAATGCTCCCCCTTTAAATTTCACAGGATGAGCAGAACCACTCAGACCTCCTTGACTGGCCTTTACTGAGCTAATCCTTCCAGAAAACTATACTTTAAAAGGAAATTAAGATTTCTGTTTCATACACCAGTACACTTTTTAAAACAAAATGGAGCCCAACATAGGAATAGCAACCTTTTATTTTGCCTAGTAAGGATGTGCAAGAACAACCAGGTAATATCTCTAAAATTATATAAAAGAAAAGATATTTTAATCTCCAAAAGCAGGAAAGTTATCATCTCAGAATAAAGAACCATTTTAAATTGTATGAAAAACTTATTTTCTCATTTTGCTCTGAACTTCTGGATGTGATCCTGTATTGCAACTGACATTTGGAAACAGCATATCCAGAATCTCAGCTCAATGTTTTCCCCATGTGTCGGTAAAATGATTTTAAGTCTGACTTCATGAGGTTTACCAATTTCCTCAAAGGAGAAATAAACTAGCAAATTGTGGGAAAAATGGAAAAACTAACCTTTAGTTGTTCACAGGTGTGGCTTTTTGCCAATCATGTTACATCCACCTTATTTAGTAGATGCAGTAACTCTTTATAATAAGTATCAATGTCTTCAATTTACCTATGGGAAATTTTAGATGAGAAAATGTTAACTGACCCAATACACGTTAAGAGAGTGGCTCAACTAGGAGCCCAAAGCACTAGACCCCCAAATCCACGTGCCTTCCCTCCTCCTGTTACTGCAAGACTAGAAGCAGAGCCTGGGGAATGAAGGTGAAGATTGCCTGTGACCCCTCAGCTCTATGTCCTCTCATGCCCAGAGTGCTGTCCTCATTGACCCCCTCTGGGAAGGCCAAATCAGGCCACGCAGCACCCTTTCTCTCTGTATGGATGCAAGAATATTTCTGGGGTTGTCACACTCCCGTGTACTGGGTCTATGCTATGAGGCTGTCCAGTATTTTAATCAGACTCACTTAATTGCAGGTCTGTGCTTTGTTTTGCAGATGTAACACTGCTCAGGGACGAGAGACCCAAAGTGATCATGGAAGACGATGAAAAGGATGGTGACAAGATAGCTGTTTAAAGCCATCTCCCCTGAGATCACTTGTAAATAGGTTAGATTGGTTCCCTATGGTGACCTAGAGAAAAAATAGACTTGTTTCTGCTCTGATTTCATCCTAGTCTGACTCAGATCTAGACACCTCTTCCCCAGGAGACACAGTATACCAGATTGCCAGTCACCTCTTTGTCTTTTTTTTCCTTGAGTGTGGTTTCTAGTCCCACTTTCTGAATTCTTCAGTGGAATGGAAAAGAAATAGATCATTCCAAAGTAGCAGGTAACAGGAAAGCTTTGGTATTCACTATTCATTTTCTGCCTCTTCTGGATCAATTAATGGAGCAAAAAACATAGGAAACCTTTACCCTGCTTTATCTGCTGGGCAGAACTTAGTTTAACATCATCCAAACACCAATCCAAGCTGGAGCTCTGTCTTGCCAGTTAGAGAGGCACAATCACTTGTGTTCTAACTCTCTGATTGTTTTTGGAAATGTGATCTTTTATTTCTCCTGTCTTCCCTTAAGAATCCATTCTGGTGATATTCCTAAAATCTTTGTGGCTGATACTATAAAGCTGAATTTATAAGCTGGGGGAGTCAACTCAGTCTATCATACCATTACTGAAAATACCAGAAACAGAGAATGCTGGTATCCAAGAGGTTCACAATATCTCTTCACATTTACTTTTACTCATACAAACAACAGTTCTTAACCATATTACCCTGACATTTATGAATTGTATCACAAATGAGTCATTACTAATGATAGGTAAAATACTAATGTTTGTGATTAATTTACTTTTTAAAAAAACTAAGCCCAACTTAAGGCCATTCTGATACTTTTGGCATCTGATTTATTGAGACTCCAACCATCTTTCTTAGAAGGAGGGGGAAGTGAAATGTTACCTAATGAGCAGACATCTGTATTTAATTCCTGTCCCAGTTTGCAATCTGTGGGAGCCTGGGGTGGGAATGGGGGTTTGTATGTAGACCTCATCCATCAGGCAGTAGATAGGAAGAAAGGTGAGAACTACTATTAAAAGGAAGAAAAGTAGATGTTCAAGTAATCATACTGAAGAGTGATAATACACAGTTTATCTCTATATGCCCTGTTTCCAATCATTTATTAATCCTTTTGTCCCTCTGTGACCTTCACAAACATGGAAAAGATGAAAGATTCTGCTGGAAATAAAAGTCCTTCTATCAACCTCTATGCTCTGGTGCATTTCTCCTAAAAATACCCTATTTACTTATTATTACAAAGAACAGAGATTGCAAATGAGACTCGGGAGGTTTGGCTTTGTTTTGCTTTTGTTTTTTGGTCTACAGAGGTTTAAAAATGTTTGAGTTAGTTGTTAATATTTATCATCCAAGTAGGAGAATTTACATATAATTCTAGATTTCCAGATTCTCTTAGAAAAATATCTCAAGAGCAGGCAAATTTGGGTGTGCTTTGACACATGACAATACCTAGCTGTAGTCGAGAACTGGATGCCATTTCTAAAGGTGTACATGTTCCCCAGTTTTCCATGTGCCCCACCCAGAGCACTTACCAACTGACTTTGCCCCCAGCCTTTGCATTTGAGTTTACAACCCTATAGTGAAAACCCACATCTTTTTCCTGGCAGTCTTTTAACCCTTTGGTTCCAGTGCTCAACTCCCACTCTGATAGCCTCAGTCACAACTAGGGGAAGGGGAATAAGTCTTGGGTTGCAGCCCCAGCTTTGGACTTTAGAGCAAGTCCCTGAAACTCTTAGTCTGCTCAATCTGGAAAACAAAGATAATAATCTTCACTTTGCCTTTTTCATAGCTTGACAATTAAATGAAAGATAATGTGTGACAAAGGGCTTAGTAAACTAAAATCCCTTATCCAACTATAACTTAGGACAATTTAAAGACCTCTTCAGAATGTGAACATATCCCCATTGTTGAGTGGGTAGCAATTACATAGAACCCACTCACAGCATCTGAAAAAGGATTTCAAGTAGGGAGACCTCATTACCTACACAGCCTTCACCGAAACATCAGGCCTCTCTTCCTAGGAAAATGCCTTTGTAGCAAAGCGACACACAGTGCAGCCTCAACAGTGCACACTCAGAATGGTGAGAGGCAAAATCAGCCAAAGCAGAGGCATCCCTGGATATCACTGGATGATTGGGTTGCAACCAAAAGTTCTTCATTTCCCTTGTCCAATATGTTCCTTTTCTAGTAGGTAAAGTAGAGGTTTAGTTATTAGACTTATAGTCCAATTCAAATTATAGTTCTCAGTATGTTGTGAACAAATTCCTTCCAAATAAATAATAGCTCTACTAAGAAGTTAAAAGCATTGCATGGCACCCATTCAGAAGGAAGGCTCAAATTAAAGGTATCCAACAGGATCTGGCAAGTCAGTTGGCCACTTGCTCATTTTGAAGGCATGGAACCTAGGCTACAGGAGCTGAGAAGACACTGGATGGGAGAGACTTAGTTCCCTGTCAAAAGCCCCACACAGAGCCTTTTTTAAATCCAGACAGCCTTTAAAATCTGTTGGCTGAGCTCACACAGCCAACTTCTAATGCCTAATTATCACCTTGGAGAGATAGAAGCTGGTGCTGAAGGATCTGAATAGGACCATGAAAGACTCAAGCAGTGTTTGCTTTTAAATGCAATGGTATTCCCTCCCCAGTCTGTGTTGTCCAGGTTGTCTTCTTTAATGGAAAGACTGAGATACCATGCGGATATGAAAATAAGTTAGTAAAACAATTATTTTTGCCAGCTGAGAGTAAGAGGCTAGTTACATGATGGATTTTGAAGAATCTCTGTCATCCTGTGTATAAATGAGGCTCCCTTGACACTTGTAATTTGTAAGTGTGAAAGTGTTACTCAGAAAATTCTCCCAGGCAGTGAGTGAATGCACAGGAAATAGACTACGATATCCTTAATTTAATTATACAGACCATGTGCTGATTACCAGTTGGTAATGAAAAGGTTAAAAGATTTAGAGACAAAACTCCTCTGTTGAAGCCACCCTCCCCAGCACATACTCAGTCATCATAAGACAATACAGTGACACTGCCCCAAAACTACACAACATAAAACAAATCAATGACCCATTTGTTCCTCCCAGCGAGCTGAGCCCTAACCTATTTTCTCCAGAAGTTAATGTATATGGATACCCTTATCTAAACCTAAAAGGCCTCCTGTGAAGCCAGAAGAAGTAGCCTGATCAAATTAAAACTTTGAATATATAATTGATATTGTGAAGTAGGAAGAAAAGGTCTAAAGGAGTAGGGGAAGTGGGAGGGGAAGGCGAAAGGGAAGAAGGGAAAAGAAAAAATATGAGCAAAGAAAAAAATGGAAATGAAGTCTTAGTAAATAGGGAAGGGTGGAGGGGTTGAAGGAAGGGCAGAGGAATGGGGAAAAAATAAGCACCAAGATACACCATGTAAAGGTACAAGATCCCGATGACGAATGTAACTGTATTGTATACCTAAAATGTACCAAGAAACTTAATTTTAAAAAAAGCTGTAACCACTCCCCAAGATGACTGTAAACTGCATGATTGTAAACATGTACTAATAAAGCAAAATATTTTTTTAAAACTTTGAATGTACAACTTGAGGCACAATGCACGTACTCCCAGATTATCTACAAGGAGCCAGATGATCCTGAAAAAGACATTATTGAGAAAATTGTTGCTGACCCTTTTTCCATGTACTCAACCCCTTATAAAAGTCCCTGATGGCCCAGTTCCTCTCTTGGAAACTCATCTGCTGTCCTTCTTGCCAGAATACACCGGTCTGAATAAACTCTTATCTTTTTATTCTGATCCTAGTAAATTCTTTTATGACCAGTGTCACTGGCCCTGGATGCATACATCATCTCAGATCCCAGGCAGGAGGATAGAGGAAAGACAGGGGAAGTAACAGGTAACAGTTGGTCTGCCAAACCAAACAAAACAAAAAATAAAGAAACTATTCCACACTCCTGAATGAATGCTAAAACCTTTACTTGAATATGAAACTGCTGATTATCTTGCACCACTAGATCCTGCTTGCATCCCTAACCTACCCAGAAACAATCACTACTTCGCTTTACGAACTGTCCTGCTACCCCAAAACTTTCTCCACCGCAAATCATCTTACCTGCCTTATCTATAATTAGTGGAGGTTCAATAAAACCAACTCACACTTTCCACACTCAAACTTTTGTTGTAAAAACACTCTTAGCTCTAGGTCCAATGGCCATTTATTCTACCAGCTATCTAGCTCTGCTGTTGGTACCTGTGGGAACTTGTCCCTGGATTTGATTAATTTTTAAAATTAATTTTATTGGTATATTTCAGGTATACAGTATAATGACATACATCAATGGAAATTTGCACCTTTACATAATCTCTCTTGGTTCTTATTTTTCCCCCTTCCCCTGCCCTCCCTTCAACCCCT